AGTGCCCTTGCCAATGCCTTTAAAAATGCTGATATGGCACCGGAGCTTTTTCAGCCTTTTTCGTACTGTAATTTTCATCATGTGCCGAGTTTCTGGCTGCGCACATTTCCAGAGAAGGTGAACACGCTACATGTAGTTGCGATTTGTCATTACTGCAGCAAAATTCCTTTATTTCCAGTTGTGATTTCTTGTTTCCACTGATTCCCCGTGTGTGTGTGTGCTCCTTCTTTGTCGTAGGATTTCAATGAGAAATCAATGTCTCGCCATCTTATACTCCAGTTCATTGAGGAGGTGAAGCAGAGTAGCATCATGGCTGATGTTGCACTGGCAAAGAACCTTAACAAGTGTTTGCTGTAAGTATTAGAGCATGTCCGGGACGGCGGAATGTTGGGAATGGAGCATGACGCATGCGCCTTCTGTGTTATTCTTCGCACGCCAAAAATTCATATTACTTGACTCCATATGTCCAATTTGTATGACCACATCGTGCATGCAATATAAAATGCATGAAGAATCATCATCAATGATCATGGTCCACATGGATTTACCGTACCATATGCATCACAACCCACCCCACTTTCATTCTTCCCTGAAAGTAATGGCTAGCCCTCACAAATGTGGTTCTGCAAGATTGGCGCAAAACCGCGCCGCCAAAGTAAAGATTCTGTGCATGTTGCATTGTGTGATCGGGCCCTAGGCAACCTACAGACTCTAGGCTGTTGTGCGAATGATGACGAAGGCAAGCACTGACATGTATGTACCTTTGCGCCCGCACTCGCTCGTGTGTGTGCGTGTGTCCGTGTGTGTGTGTGTGTGCGTGCGTGTGTCGGTGTGTGTACATGTGTTGTGCGTGCGTGTGTCGGTGTGTGTACATGTGTCGGTGTGTGTACATGTGTTATGCATGCTTGTGTCGGTGTGTGTACATGTGTCGGTGTGTGTACATGTGTCGGTGTGTGTACATGTGTCGGTGTGTGTACATGTGTCGGTGTGTGTACATGTGTCGGTGTGTGTGCATGTGTCGGTGTGTGTGCATGTGTCGGTGTGTGTGCATGTGTCGGTGTGTGTACATGTGTCGGTGTGTGTACATGTGTCGGTGTGTGTACATGTGTCGGTGTGTGTACATGTGTCGGTGTGTGTACATGTGTCGGTGTGTGTACATGTGTCGGTGTGTGTACATGTGTCGGTGTGTGTACATGTGTCGGTGTGTGTACATGTGTCGGTGTGTGTACATGTGTCGGTGTGTGTACATGTGTCGGTGTGTGTACATGTGTCGGTGTGTGTACATGTGTCGGTGTGTGTACATGTGTCGGTGTGTGTACATGTGTCGGTGTGTGTACATGTGTCGGTGTGTGTACATGTGTCGGTGTGTGTACATGTGTCGGTGTGTGTACATGTGTCGGTGTGTGTACATGTGTCGGTGTGTGTACATGTGTCGGTGTGTGTACATGTGTCGGTGTGTGTGCATGTGTCGGTGTGTGTGCATGTGTCGGTGTGTGTACATGTGTCGGTGTGTGTACATGTGTCGGTGTGTGTACATGTGTCGGTGTGTGTACATGTGTCGGTGTGTGTACATGTGTCGGTGTGTGTACATGTGTCGGTGTGTGTACATGTGTCGGTGTGTGTACATGTGTCGGTGTGTGTGCATGTGTCGGTGTGTGTGCATGTGTCGGTGTGTGTACATGTGTCGGTGTGTGTACATGTGTCGGTGTGTGTACATGTGTCGGTGTGTGTACATGTGTCGGTGTGTGTGCATGTGTCGGTGTGTGTGCATGTGTCGGTGTGTGTACATGTGTCGGTGTGTGTACATGTGTCGGTGTGTGTACATGTGTCGGTGTGTGTACATGTGTCGGTGTGTGTGCATGTGTCGGTGTGTGTACATGTGTCGGTGTGTGTACATGTGTTGTGCATACTTTCACTCATGATGTACATGTACCACAGGCAAGCAAGCAGTGCTGCAGAGTTAGGATCTCCCACTGACAAGGTACGTAGCTGTCCATGCTATGGTGTCCTGAATGTTAGGACTTTCTCTTAGCAATACATGTACTGTACCATTGAATGTGAACCTGCAAGCTACATCCAGCTGGACTGTACATGTACATGTTGTGATGTTTTCTTCTTCATTTTTGTCTGCAATCGATAATTTAGGCCGCGTTGTCGATGTCAGCCTTCTCCAACGGCAAAGGGCCGAAGCTCTCTACCTTCTCGCATCAGTGTGTGGCCGAACAGATGACGTTGAGTACACACCAGGCGTTCTGCCGCATACGACCTGGGTGAGTAGTACATGGCGTGGTATTGTCAGGCCATGCTCCACTAGGCTGGTGTGATATTGTCAGGCCATGCTCCACTAGGCTGGCGTGGTATTGTCAGGCCATGCTCCACTAGGCTGGTGTGGTATTGTCAGGCCATGCTCCACTAGGCTGGCGTGGTATTGTCAGGCCATGCTCCACTAGGCTGGCATGGTATTGTCAGGCCATGCTCCACTAGGCTGGCGTGGTATTGT